GTAATTAGGGCTGGGGCAGTTTTGTGATTGCCAGGCTTAGAAATGAAGGAAACTCTTTGGCCTTTGGTGTATGTGTGCATGTTTGCTTGTCTTTGTGCCTACGTGTGTGAGTAGGTGTATGTGTGTGTGTGTGGGGGGGGTTATGCACATTTCTGACAGTCCTTGGAAGGTACCTCATACCTGTTGCCTTTGAGAGTCCTGCTTGCTTTCCCACTGACTAAGAACTAGGAAGAGGTGAAGCTGGTCATTACACAACTCATTGTGACAAACTGGCCCCATGGCTTCCTGTTTCCGTTAAAGGCAGTGAATGGAGTCTAGGTAGTGTCAAGAATGGGAGGGCTTCATTTTCTGTAGAAAAGCCACCACATCCTTTCTGGGAAAAGGATTGGAGCAAGCTAGCCGGCAGATGAAGGAGCTGCAGTGCAGTGAAACAGTGCAGTGCTGGGAGCATGAACAGACCTGAGAGACGAACTCCCCCACGGTGTGTGCCATTTCTTCTAACCCACTTCCCCAGCCAGTCCTTATTCAGAATTCATATGCTAGTCCAAAAGCTCAATAGAAAATAGGTTCCAGTGTACTTCTCCAGGCTCCTGGGCCAAGACTGCAGAAGGACACTATTTGGGTGGCTTCCTTCATAAAGGAGAAGTTGTTGGAGAGTGATGGCTAGAGGTGGACTGGTTCCCTTCCTTTGCTGACAAGTTCAGGGTGACAAAAGCCAGGCTGTTGGGGCAGGATGCTTTGCAGCTCAGGGGAGAGCACGATGTGCCTGCTCCTAACAATGGCAGGGACACCTTTCTTCCCTAGTTACAGGTAGGAGGTTTTTCATGACCCTGTAGGATATAAAGTTAGACAGCACTGGTCAGACCTGTAGAGATGGAGAGTTTTGTGGGTTCCTTGAAGTGTCTACAGCTGAATCTCCAAAGTGGTTCTTTTTTTCTTAGGTGGGTACAGATTAATAAAGATAAGAAATCTACTTTAAAAGAACTTTCCCTAAAACATAATTTGCACACTGTAATACTAGTATCTTTTCAATGCCCAATTCAGTGATTTTTTTTAAAGGATTTATTTTTCTAATGGTGTATATCCGTGTGTACCCATGTGAGTTTATGTGTACCATATGCTTTTAAGTGCCTGTGGTGACCAGAAGAGGATGCTGGGTCATCTTGAGCTGGAATTACAGGTGGTTGTGAACCTCTAATATGACTACTGGGAACCTAACCTTGGTCCTCTGCAAGAGCAATAAGTGCTCCTAACCACTGAACCGTCTCTCCATTCTCACATCAGTGATTTTTAATGAAAAATGATAGAGCTGTTTAACTATCATCATAGCTCAGTTTTGGATATTTTCATTTCCCTAAAAAATCCCTGAAGTGGGGGCTGAAGAGATGACTCAGCAGTTAAGAGCACTGGCTGTTCTTACAGAGGACCCAGGTTTGGGTCCCAGCACCCACAATGTGGCTAACAACAGTCTGTAACTCCAGTTCCAGGGGATCCAACACCCTCTTCTGACCTCCGTGGACACTGCATGACATGGGTGCACTTACATACATGCAGGCAATACACTCATTTGCATAGAATAAAAATAATAATATATATATTTTTTTAATTTCTGAGGATTGCTCAGTGGCCATTCACATCCTTAGCTCCAGCAGCCAGTAGTCTGCTGTTCTGTCTGACAGATTAACCCATTTTGAACATTGCAAATTAACTGGACTCATAAAATGTATGGCCTTTTCTTGTCGGGTTCTTCGGCTTACTGTATTGAGTTTGAGGTTCATCCAGGTTGTAGCATATGTTCGTATAACATTCTCTTTAATTCTTTAATTTTATTTGTTATTTTTATCTTATATGTATGTAGTGTATTGCCTGCAAGTGCTCCCATGTCATGTAATGCCTGGGGAGGTCAGAAGAAGCCTTTGGATCCCCTGGAACTTGAGTTATGGATGGCTGTTAACCACCATGTGGGTGCTGGGAATGAACCAGCGTCCTCTGCAAGAGCAGCCAGTGCTCTTAACCACTAAACCATCTTTCCACCTCTGACATGTAACATTCTTTTTTGTTACTGAGTAGTATTTCCTTCCTCTATTGGTTTTCCACTAGGGCACAGGAGCCATATCTACATGTTTGTCCCTCTGATGTCAGTCTCTAAGACAGTTATGTTACAAAGTAGTCAAACAGTCAATATACTGAATGGTAGGGAAGGGGCTCCAAGTTGTTTTACAAGAAATGGGTTATTTCAAATAACCTCAGATGAAAAATATTTGGAAAAGATCTTGTGTCTGTATTGAATATGTACAGACATTTTCTCTTTCTGGGTGTGTGCTTGTGTGTGCATATGTATAGTGTGTGTGCACATGTACCTGTGGGTGTAATATATGTACAAGGTATGTGTATAGAGAACAGAGGTCAGCATTGCGTGTCTACCTCCACTGCTCCCCACCTTATTTTTTGAGGTGGTCTCTCACACAACCTGAGCTCACTGATTGATTAGACTGACTGGCCAGTGAGTCCCAGGGATCCTCCTGTTTCCATGTCCCTTCTGCTAGAGTTACAGATGCACACGTGCCCACATCTGGCTCTTTTACATGGGCGCAGGGGGTCCAGACTCAGGTCCTTGTGTTTATGTGGCAGGCACTTTACTGACTAAGCTATTTCCCCAGCTCCTTCTTGTCGTTACTTCTTAAGCAGTAGAGTATGACAGGTACTGTCCTAGTTAGCTTTCTGTTACTGTGATAAAACACTCTGACCAAAAGCCAACCTGGGGAGAAAAGGGTTTATTGGTTTGCACTTCCCAATCACAGTTCATCCTTAAGGGAAGCCAGGGCAGGAACTCAGGGCAGGAACCTGGAGGCAGGAACCAAAGCAGAGACCATGGAGGAATGCTGCTTACTGGTGCACTCCTCTGGCTGATGCTCAGCCTCCTTTGTTTGTTTGTTTCTTTTTTTTTTTTCTTCTGTCTTTTTTGAGACAGGGTCTCCTTGTAGCCCCAGCTGTCCTGGAACTCCCTATGTAGACCAGGCTGGCCTCGAACTCACAAAGATCCGCCTGCCTCTTCCTCCCAAGTGCTGGGATTAAAGGTGTGCGCCACCATGCCCGGCTCAGCCTTCTTTCTTATATAACTCAGAACCACCTCTCAGGGGTGACACCATTCAGAGTGGGCTGGGCCCTCCCATATCACTCAACAGTCAAGAAAATGCCCCACAGACGTGCCCACAGGGCAGTCTGACAGAGGAAATTCCCCATTTGAGATTCCCTCTTCCCAGGTGTGTCAAGTTGACAACTGAAACTATCCAGCATCGCCACCTACTCAGCAATTACTTTATTTTAGGTGCTGTCTGTCATCTAGAGGTGATTTAAAGTGTACGAGAGGATGTGCTTAGGTTATGTGTAAATACCACATGATATTACATAAGAGATCTGTGCAGCCATGAATTTTACTATCCTAACTGGGTGGAGTTGTATAATCCACCACTTGTGGATGTCAGGGGACGACTGTTACCATAGTTGATGCCACTCAGTCGGAGCTGATGAGTTGTTTCTACTTGCTGACTGTTCTAACACCGCCATATTGGATTCCTTTGGCTACTGTAACAAATTACAGCAAGTGCAACTGCTTGGAATAGCAGGAACTTGTTATCTCGGAGCCCAGAGTTCTGAAATGAAAAGTATGGGCAGGTCTGTGTGTTCCCTGGAGGCTCTTGGGAGATTCCAGCTCCCAGTGGTGGCCAACGGTTCTAGCAGTGTGATCACAGAGCAATCTGTTTCCATTCTCTCCCTCTCCCTCCCTCTTTCTCTCTCTACCCTAAGATAACTAAGATAACTAGATCTTCAACTTCATCACCTCTTTTGCCATATAAGGAGGCACCCGGGGCTGTAGGGATTTGGTGTGGAAATCTTCTAGGGGGCAATTTTATTCCCCCACTGCAGCAGCTATGAACATAGGTATGATTTGGTTTCACTTTTGTTGATCTCCTAGGAATGGATTGGCTGGGTCATGTGGTAAATTTATGTTGAGCTTTTAAGAAACTGCCAGACTGCTTTCCAAAGGATATCTTGTCGATTTGCATCCCTCCCAGCCAGGTATGAGAGTTTTAGTTACTCTCAATCCTTGGCAAGTGTCTGTTCTTATTTTTCAATACAGCCAGTCTAGTAGATATGAAGTGGTATCTGATGGTGGTTTTGATTTGCATTTCCCCAGTGAGTAATAGTGCTGTGTCCGTTCATGTGCTTACTAGTCACTCAATGTAGCTTATGGTAAAATATCTATTCAAAAGCCTTGTCCGTTGTCTTTTTTCCAGATGTGGGTTAGTCTCCTGCTTTCTACTACCAGGCCCCACCATTGCCTATCCTGAAGCTTATAGAGACTGGAGTTGCCTTGATCCAGAGTGCTGGAGGAACCCCATCCCCAGGGTGTCTAGGACTGGGGCAAGGCCCCCTCCCTGCATTATGCCCCATGTCACCCTGTCACTAAAGGTAGATGATACTTGTATGCAGCCTTGCTACTTGTGAGCACCCCGTCAGGGGAACCAAAAGACCATTTGTCTGTGCTGTAAAGACCGTATGCTTAGCTGTGTTTCAGGTTAGCTGTTGTCTCATGAACAAGGGGACCAACCCATAATGCCTCACAGTGCCTCTCTTCTAACCTAGATTCTCCTGTAATGGAATTCCAGTTTTAATTAAATGGTTGTTTCTGTGATTATATATTTAATAGGTTTCTTCCTCCCACTGGACTGTCCTGTTCTGTGGAAGCAGAGGCTACCTCTATGTTTTGTCACTCTCTTACCAGTGTCTAAAACAGCATGTGACCCATGCCGGGCAGCCAGGCAGTATGTTGGATGGTGGAACTACAGCTCTGTGTTCTGCTTGCAGAGGATGGCTCACATGAAATAATTTAATAATCAATCAGTAGATAGACTGCTTATTGAATACACTGGCCACTCACCTCTGAATGGGCCGTTCTGTGGCATATATTCTAATTCCCCCTTTTTTCTCTTTCCCAGCAATCTATAACTACAATGCTTCTCAAGATGTGGAGCTCTCCTTGCAGATCGGTGACACGGTCCACATCCTGGAGATGTACGAAGGTAAGTGCAGTTGCCCTCTGCCAAATGGGGCCCAGGAGAAAACAGGGAGACGTACTTATTAATAAAGCACTTAACATCAAGACCAGCATGCTCTGCTCTTCCCAGCGCAGGGCTAGCGAAAACCCAGGCAGCGCTTGGGTGATACAGCTTTAAACCTGAAGGCAGTTTCAACACAGGCAGATCAGTCTGTGAGTGCAAACGTGCCCAGATTCCAGAGTCAAGGTTTATGCCGATGAAGGCAGAAGGGTCCAGTATGGAGGTGCCTGGGGAAGACGTACTTGGGATATTGGTCATACAGTAGTTGGAAGGAAGCATTGCCAGTTAAGGGGTCTTTTTCTACTCTGAGCTCTGTTTCCAGGTCGGTGACAAAAAGAGGGGAGGGGCAGGCATTGCAGTGGTGTGCAGATTCTTTCAGAAAAGTAGGTCAGAACTGTAGCAGAAAGCCCTTTTTGTGTATCTCCTCCAACTACGTCAGGCTTGGGTGGTGGTTCTGGTTAACCTGTTCTGGTCTACAGGTCAGTATCTAGGACTGTTTGTCTACAAAGCACAGGTTCATACTTGCATGCACGTATCTCACTAGAGACTCTTAGTGTCAACCAAGAGCCTCTGAATTGTAAAAGGACTCCAACTTCAGCTATTCATGTTTCTAAGCCCAAACCCCAGACCAACTAGAGTGTATCCAAGCCACTGAAGTAGAGGATCAAAGAAATGAACAAACTTTTAGTCCCAGTTATTACAACCCGGTGAAAGTGGGATAGGAAGAAGGTGGGAAGCTAGGTGGGGTTTTCTCTTGGAGCAAAGCCTGTTGGAACAGACATTCTGCTTTGATAAATGCTGTGACAATGGAATGGTAAAGGGCTCACCTAGAATCCTGTGCAGAGCTCTACGCTAGGACACAAAGAGGCTGTAACAGACGGAGATGGCGATGGGAAAGCTGGGGGAGAGGAAGCAGGGTTTGACCTGAGTCTCACACCGGGTTGCTCGAGAACTCTGTCTGACCGATGCTCCCTTTTGCTGTTGGTAGAGAGTGGGTTTTGCACTGCCCTTTCCCTTCCGCACCACGCCATATAACCATGTGGCTCCCAGGGGCAGGGAGGAGATGGAGAGGGCTGTGTGGAGTCTCTCATCCCACGGTTTTCTTTTGCCGTTGCCCATCTTGGGCCCGGCCAAGCATCAATGCTAAGTCACCATTACACTCCTGACATGTGTTTTCAGGGCCCTTGCTTATGAAAACCATTATTCCCCTCTGATCTTACTGGGTCAGCCCTCTTTCTCTGGGGTGCATAGAGATGTATCATATAGTCCCCACGGACACATTTTCCCGTGGTACAGGTAAAAAACATATGTTCAATTTATGTAACTTCCATGTGGACTTGGAAGGAGTGTTTTGTACATGACAGTTACATTCAAATTCTGTGCCCATTTTTCTTCAATTTTGCCATATGCTAACTTTTTTTTTTTTTTTTTTTTTTTTTTTTTTTAGAACTGATTGTCATTTATGTCTCTACAGTGATGATGGTTGTTTTCATCATATGTTATCAATCCTGTTTTTAGAATGTCCAGGCCCACCATTTTAAACAAGTCCTTTGTTTCAGTTCCTGCACCCTAAGCCTTCTGTCTCTTTCTTCATCTAAGTTTTATGCTTTACTGAAATTACAGCTAACTCATTGTCAGGCCCAACTCTCTAATCTTTGTCCTGCTGGCCCCATAAGTCCCTTAGAAATGCTACTCTAAGTCACGCAGACATCTTTTTTTAAATCAACAGATGCCCTAGGCAGGATGCAGCCATAAACACTGGACTGGTCTCTTTGGAGTTTGGCCTTTTGCAGATTTTGACTTGGAAATTCTTCATTGTTATGTTTGCTTTCTTGTGGTGTGTCATGGTCTGTGTGTGTGTGTGTGTGTGTGTGTGTGTGTGTGTCTGTCTGTCTGTCTGTCTGTCTGTTACCGCCCTGTGGAATCTATCCAGGAAGAGTGGAGTATTGATGCTGATTTGACGTGAAGTAGTTGATGTCTTTAAAATGCATTCTTAAGATTGTTTTCTCAAAAAAGTTGCTTTTTCATTTTTATATGACCGTAGCATATTTTTAGAATAGTTTAGTAAAGCATTCTGCCCTCCAGAATGCATCTTAATAGTAATTTAAGTGTGCTCCATGGTTATATTGTGCCCAGTGATCTCACTAGTGACTGAACTTAGTTCATTATGCAGGTCTAGCATCCCTATCCAAAATAGTCTCAGGACTGGATGTGTTTAAAATTTCAAACTGTAAAAAAAAAAAAAAAAATCAGACCATTTTGAATTTGGAACACTTGCATATGCATAGTGAAATACTTAGAGGACAGGACCCAGAGTGTACTCGTTCATTTTTTATATGTCTTATGCATATGACCTGAAAGCAATTTTATAAAATATTTTAAATAATTTTGTCAAGGTGTGTAATTATCCACCTGATATCTTGTCAGCGCTCATGAAGTTTTGAATTTTGACCTGGGCATGATGGTACATACCTTTAATCGTAGCACTTGGGAGGCAGAGGCAGGAGGACCTCTGTGAGGTTGTGACCAGCCTGGTCTACATAGCAAGTTCCAGTCCAGCTTGGGCTACTGGAAGACCCTGTCTTAAAAAATAAATAAATAAACAAACCCAAAATAAAAATAAAGTTTTGAATTTTGGAGCATTTTAGCTTTTAGAGTTTTAGATTGTGGTGCTCAACCTATACTAAATATAAACACAGGATATGCAAATATCCATTTTAAATACCATGTAATTGAGCCCCAACATCCCAACCCACAGTGCTTCTAGGCCATTGTACCTCATACACAGTGTGACTGCAGAAAGTGCCAGGAGAGTTGACTGTTACACAGAAAACTTAGCGTCATCATGGGTATGATGCATGGAGCTGTGGGTCCCACCAGCAAGAAGCCAGTTTTCTTGTTCATTGCTACTGTAAAGTATACTGTGTCGGTTATAGAATGTTAGCCTCTCAAGACACCTGTGCCTGTGTGTTCTAACTGGACATGTCTCCCAGCATGAATGGGGAAACTGAGAACAGAGCTCTGACCTCCAGGTGGCATGTCAGTTTTACAGAGATGATGATATTAGATTCTGTTTTTTCAATGGTGTTTCTTTTATGAGATTAATTTTAAAATAGTGCCTGCCTGGCCCTACGCTCAAGGGTAGGCTCTTGTACTCAGTACTTAGAGTTCTTGGCGTGAGTCTTGAATTCCTTTATTATTTCAGGCAGTTCAGAACTGGGGGCAGGAGTGCTTTGCAAACCTGAAACCTGCAGGAAATGCTGAGTAATAACTTGTGTTCACTCCCCCTCCTCCTCCAGTCTTCCTTTAAGCAAATAAACAAAGTGAAAATGCCCGCAGCCCTGCCAGACAGAATGCCAGGGTAACACTGGCAGCCAGTTTTGGCCCCGGATTTGTATCTTCCAACTTCCTGTCGGTGTCTCTGGGACTCTCCCTCTGCCCAGTCTGCCCCACCTTGCCTTTGAGATATGCATACCAGATCTGTGTGTGCTGTTTCTTGCACGAACTTGAGTCCTCCCAGACATTAAAAAGTACGTTTTCAGCCCACAACCCACAACAGAGTATCACCAAGGACGTTCCTGTGCTGCTTCCTGCCCTGTGGTTCAAGAGTGATTCCCCAAGAGTGGCGGCTGTTTGGAGTCATGGCGGCTCCTGCTTGATCTCCAGGTGCCTGCCATAGTTCCTGACACAGAATAGACCCTCAGCAGAAACCTGGGATGAACACGGGCAAGAAAGGAGCTCATGACCATCTGACAGGTGCTGCTGTTCCCCTGTCCTCTGCAGCCTGCACATGGATTTGGTCAATGCCTTAAGTTTTTGTTTGTAATCTGAAACATCAGCTTTATTAAGGTATAACTCAGATACAGTTTACCCATTTATAGCCTACAATTCAGTGGCTGTTTACTTAAGCTCACTATGCAAGGGGTTGGGCAATGTCCATCACTATCTCCTTTCAGTGCTCCAAAAGAAACTTTGTACCATTCACTTATCAGCCTTTCCCTGGCAAATATCTGCTTTCTGACTGTTCTAGACCTTTCCTATAAATGCAGTTTACAGCGTAAGGCCCTTTATGGTTGAATTCTTTTCCTTACTATGGTTTCAGCATTTTCCCACATTATAGCACATTAATACTTCATTTCCTTTTCTTACTGGGTAGCAACCACAGTTCATCCATTCATCGTCAGATAAACATTTGAACTGTTTAGATCCTTCAGTCGTTGTGACTAATACTTCTGTGAATGTTCATGGAGCACTTTGGTATGGATGTACTTTCATTTCTCTTGGGGAGATATATGGAGTAGAACTGCTGTGTCATATGGTAACTCCATGTTGAAACTTTTGAAAAACTGCCAGACTGTTCAATCTTTGGCTTGAAAACAACAGAACACAATCCACATTGAGAGCTTGCTGTCACTTGTCCCCCCCCCTTTTTTTTTTTTTCTGTGACCTTACCCCAAGAATTATTTGCCTTCTGAGACCCATAGAGAACAGAAATCCCACAGACCTGGAGCAGATGCCCTTGTCCCTGTTCTTTTCCTCAGGCCTTCTCATGGTTGGTGCTGCGTTTGCTTCTTTAACCATGAAAGGTATTCGTCAATAAGATACCCATTTTCCTTCTTGAATGTTCCTTCCCACCCCAGATCCATGAGCAAATGGAAAGAGACATTGGACCCATGAGCTGTAGTTACTTTGTCGTTCGGTAATATTTGCTGAGCATCTACCATGGGCCACGTACTTTAACTGAGGACACGTCAGGAAATTTTATAACACTGTGGTCATCTAAGTGATAAGCATCCAGATGCCTGCTCTTATAGGATTTTCTTGGAAGAACAAGACAAATAAGATAAACAAGAAAAAATTACAGGTATTTACAAGTGCTATGGGATGGGGTGGGGTGCTGCTGAGGCCACAGAGAGGAGAGAGACATGGAGAAGGGCTACGCTAGATTAGGTGGCTTCACTCTT